ACTTGTTCTTGGACTCAATACATCAATAAAAACATAATTGGGTTAATCATGTTCAATTCATTAATTAATATATTAAAATTTGTAAAGAAAGGGAACCACTTAAAAAATGACAGACACAAAGAAATTGTTCACCTCACCAATAAAATAATTTTAGAATTACTATCTAATATTTTGGATTTAAAATTTTTTATTTTTGGATGAGATAACAGTACATGTCAGCACTGAACTGATGAAAGCACTAAATTGGAAGGAATAAATTGGTTCCAAAACAAAGGATACTTTTGATACTTTTTAAAGTTTATAGATAGTTTTGGATAAAAAATGAAAGTTGTGAATATATCTAAACAAGCTAATAGGATGGCAGATTGGATAACAAAGCATAAGTTAAAACTACCTGTGTCCATCGTATTGGGCTTATTGCCGGCCCCCAATCTTCAACTTTTGTTAACACAGGATGTAAATGCATCTTAATGTAATGAAATTTCCACTTTAGTAAAAAAAAAAAAAAGAGAAAAAAAAATGGTATTTTTCTTTCTTTTCTAAATTTATTTAAAAAGAAGTTAAATTAAAGTCCTAAAATTTCAGGCCTGCGGGCTTAGGTAGTCCATGCAGCCCATCGATGTCTTTTGTAGACAGTAGCCAAACACAATCCAACACCGAAGACAGCTTCGTCCAAGCCCAATTATTTATGGGCCAGAGTCAGGTGGCCTATAAACCACATTCTCTTCACCGGAGACTGCGATTGTCCGTCCTTAATCGTCGCCGAATTTCCCACTCCGAGCACTCAGCGTTCCAACCAACGTGTACAATGCTGGACAAACTGATGTATTCAAGGCGGAAATCAGTCGATACAAGGTGCAGGCAGATCTGGTTGAAGCAAAAATGCCACATTATATCTCGTAAGACTAGTGTTGTTAGACTAGTGCTTTATTTTGTGGACGGCTTTTACGTAACTGCAATTGTCTGGATTTTTAAGCTTCCATGTTATCCATACATATAGAAGTCATGGCTGGATTATGTAATGCATTCATGCCACATAAATTTAGTTGTTATATTCACATTTGGAGAAAACATTGTAGTTTATATAATGCTTTACTATGGATTTCATTCATCCTTTAACATGAAGAGATATAGCTCAAAGACACGAGGCTGAAGCAACACTTCAAACGAAACCAAATTCAGAAATTGAAACTTCAAGGCTCTTAGTCTAACCAGCAATCATAAATTCAGTAACAGAAAAAGCAATATCTCCCTTGGCATCAACATAAAGACTACCATTCCTGGTCCATCCAAAAATTCAGCAACATGGGGTGTATCAAATGGTCTTCGCCAGTATGAGGAGGCAGCGATAAGGATCCATTGATTTCAAGACAATAGCAACTTTACTTTAAACAGCCTCTTAATTCAACAACGCAACTTTATCAGCAATTCTTGAATGTTCAATCTATCATGTGGTAGCAACTGAACAAAATGACAGCATATGTTACCCCTAAGTCCTAATCCAAGCCTGAAGATAAATGCTCAAATCTCCTCACTTGAACCTCCATCTCAGTTTAGTCTGCACCAACCATCCCATTCTGATACAAGAAGGAAAAATGCAATGTTAAGTGATAATTTAATGTCCAAAGTATCCCTGAATTAAGCAGGGGAAATGTTAGGTACCAAAGTGTAAAAAAAAAAATGGAGCATAACACTTCAAACATGTACCGTACCCAGCAGTCTTAATCCATATTTTGGAATTCTTGTATTCTTCAGCCCAGTTAATTAGCTGATTTGAATTCACACACTTGTTCAAAGGCTGATGCAGCATGATATCACATGGTGTGTCTGAAGCAAATTCTAACAAACCATGGTTATCAAAACAATCATTGGTTTCTGGATGATCTATATATGTGTGTGTGTGTGTGTGTGCTGATCAAAACAAAAAAAGTGTGTGTGTGTGTAGCACAAACATGTGTGAATACATACAATAAAATCTTTGAGATTGATTAATGGATATTGATTTCTGTACTTGTTTCAATCATAGAGCATCTCTGCAAGTTCTGGTATTGAGCCGCCTGCAACGATAAAGGAAAGTTTTAGAGAGCATTATCATGTATGTACCCATGATGGAACTCCTATTCCAGGTATATTTACTGAAATGAAGCAAACTACCTTTTTTTCAACTCTCTAATGACCCAGATCTCCTATTGATGAACAGCTAGGTCCTTCAACGGCTAAGAGATAGTCATAATCAAAATACTAAAAAAAAGAGAAAACCAATTATACCAACTCATATATCCATTCACATAACCTCTAGTAAATCAGATGCCGAAGGGACTCAGCTTCAGACAAGCAGCAAGAAAGAGCCCTGACATATGTATATCTCTTGTTATCAACACAGATGGCTTCCAGTTCAAAGAACATAGTTCTGATGTTTGGATAAACAAATAAGAACCATAATATCAATTGAGGAGCACTTCAGTGAAAGGACAGTATCAAATCCTTTAAAATAGATTCTAAAACCACTTAATATTGGATGAGAAAAGTAGAATCAACTACTTACCAGAGTAGAGGCAGCTGCAGCTAGCAGCAAAGAAAGCACATTAATCAGTCTAAATTCTGCTTAATATTTTGGTCTTGAAAATAATTATTGATCTCCAAATATTGTTGTGTTGGCTGCGGAATATCTGAAGGCAGGAGAAATACAGCAGTTGACGGCTGCCACAGAGGGAGCCTCTAAACTAAATCCCTAGTTCAAATAAATATGAGAGAAATTCATATAATTTTATACATAAATGCCTTGGGTCTGCTGTGGCCTATGTATATGTGGGTTCAATTGCCACAAGAGTTGAACAATAATTTGATTAAAAAAATTAAGATGTATAGTTAACAGTCACAAACATAAAACAAGAAAGTTCTGATATCTGTTTTACTAGTTATTACAATGTAAATAAAACAAATATTACTTAAACAAGCACTAATTAAACAAAGCCACTCATCCACAGCACTAAAACAAATTAAAACAAAGATTGCATTGGCTTGAAGTGAGTGTGAGTCCCATTTGTTTGTTTTCCTTTGTTATATATGTTGCTGAGTTGAAGAAAATAGTTTTGAGATGGCAAGAGCCAAGAGATGCAGCTTGCTCCAAGGATGTATGGAGAAATCACTTAATTCTAGGGAAGCAAATAATAGCCAGCCAAAAATGAAAAAAAGGCTTCCTGAAAACACATGACATACCTGAGTTGGGCATTAGAAATTGGACACGGATTGACCAGATTGATAGTCAGTAGTCACCCAATAAATCCATTCAGGTTGACATTTTGAGTCCTTGAGAAACCTAAAAAGAACTGTTTCCTTAGAACATGACATATATACCTAGGTTGGGCATTTGAAACTGAAATTAGTCAATCCTTGTTGATGGAATTGCTATACAAACCTTCAATGCCGGACAGACAGATGAGAAACGCGTACCCAAGCACCGCAACTATGAGTAATTAAAAAGGAATTAGCATCCAATTAAGGGAGATAAACATCTGAATTAGGAGCAAATCAACAGAGATTAACACTTGGATTCCTTTAGAAACAAGATAGTGTAAACAAGAGATACCTGAGAGGGGAGGAATGGAATGCAAGTGATGGAAAAAGGGAGTGTAATGAGACTTACCTATCATATTGGAGGACATTCTTATCATTAGGATTCTCCCACTCCACAGATTCCCACCATTCTTTTGGATTATAAATTTCGACTTTGATAGCAGGAAGAGCTGGTTGCCTGTTTTCCCTTCCAAGACAAAGGGGAATCCTCCTTATCTCAGGACAGTTTTTTATACAAATGGAATTGAGAGAATCACAATCCATAACTCCTCTTTTTGGGCAGATTTTCTTCAATTCTGGTAAACAATCCAAGTACAATGACCTTAATTTTGGAAGAGTGAATATTGTAGTAGTAGTTGGTTGATTTCTTTCCTCTTCTTCTTCCCATTCTATTATTTCCTCCATCCCCAAGCAATCTTCAACATGAATTTCCTCCAAGTTTTGGAGGCCCTGACACTGCAGCAGCTCACATGGAAACAACTTGTTCAATTTTGAACAGGCCACTACATTCAACTCTTTAAGATTGGAAAAGATGGGAGAGGATATTCTTTTTTCCACTTTTACAAGATCTCGCAAGCTACACAAACTCCAAAGAGATAGTTCTTCAAGATTATTCATAACTATCAAGGACGATGAGGAGACCACACACTCTATCCCTTGGCACCCATCCAAAGCATACGTTTGTAATTGAGTCAAATTTTTTAGAAAAATAGTAATATCACGGACCGTATTGCAGCATTCAATCCTCAAATCCTGAAGGTCATCTGGAAGCACCAACGCATCTTCTCCTCCCATCTTGCATTTGAATAAAGTTACCCTTTTAAGAGCATCATTATTGGTGAATTTCCAAAAATACCCCTCTCTGTCTTCCTCTGGCACTGCTGTTGTAAGCCAGTAATGACTGGGTCTTCCAAAATGGTTCAACTTGCTAACAAAACTGTTGAAGTCTTTCAGCCAATCAAATCCACCTTCAAAACATTCCAGCATCTCCAATCTTGCTACTTCCTCTACTCTTACTTCAGTTGAAAAAATCTTTTGTTTACGTAGGTATTGGAGGCGGAAGAGGTTACTGATTATTCCTACTGGTAGCTCCCCGAGGTTTGGACAAGATAAATCAAGATATTCCAGATTTTCTAACATTTCAATGCCTTCAGGGGCCACAAGAAGGCCTGCTCCATTCAAATCCAACTTCTTCAGTGCTTTAAGCTTTGACAAGCAAGGCATGCGTTCTAATCTCTGACATCCACAGAGAATTAGTGCTGTAAGATTTTTTAAGCTACATAAAGAATTAGGTAGAGCCTCAATGCCAGTATAAGAAAGATCAAGAAACTTCAGTAGGGGCATGTTTCCTAAAAAACACTCTGGAATTTGCCTCAATCCTGCATTACCCTTCAAAATTAAGGTTGAGAGCATCAAGCATTTGGGGAACATATTTATAGGGATATATGATATTTCATTTTCCATTAGGGAAACCTTGTCTAGATCTTCAGTCCATTCATCCTCCTCTGGTATCTCTGTCAATCTCATTTTAGCTTTCACCATGAACTTACTTGGACCGGTGCTCTTAACACGCAATGCCATGTCCCTTACAACATCATGCATCTTAACATTTTCCCTTTTATTGGCTTCCTCTACCAGACAATTGTTTAAAAGCCTATTTAAAATAACATGTCCTTTATCATGCATTTCTCTTCTGCTCCCTAATTTTTCAACAAGTCCCTCACAAATCCAGTTTTCAATTAGAT